CCCGCCGAGGGTATCTGTTCCTGGCCTGGTGCCCCATGTCCAGCCTCCTCTATATTCAGAGGTATAAACAAATCCATGGTTTACTCCCACTCTACTTGCAGTGGTTGATGGAAAAACCCATACATTTCCCTAAGGAATTTGAGAGCCATGATGATACAGACATGCTTGTAGTACCATGCAAGGGGACAGGCAAGGGGTAACACTCTCCTATGCTTATATCCCCTAACTCTGAGTAATGAGTAAGTTACCATGCAGCAGCTAACCTTCCTTTAACTGGGAGGCTGCAGTTTATCTAAGCTGTATGCTCATTTCGGACCAGACATGTGATCTTTACATCTGCAGGGGCAGTTGACATTCAGCAAGGCAGAATGGAAGTATGAGGTTGTAAAAAAAGATGTGGGTGATCCTTTCTAACAAGTGTTCTATTTTGCCTTCTCATCCAGCTTCTTGGTCACACTGCAGCTAATCAGAACACAACCCCCAGCACATCAGACCTACAGCTCTGGCAGAGCCTGAAAGCTTGGGAGCAAGCTGGCCTAGTTGACAGTCCTGCATTTATGACCCAAAGGCACAAATTCTTTTCTGGCAGAAACTAATTAAATGGGGACTAACCATGGAAAGCCACTGGATTCTCAACAGCAGAACAACACCGGAAGACCATGCAATGCTTTTTCATGCTTGTGCTGCAGTGGGCAGAAACTGGAACACAGGAGATTCTATCTGAACATGAGGAAAAACTTCTTTACCGTAAGGGTGATAGAACACTGGAACAGCTGCCCAGAGAAGTTGTGGAGTCATCATCTCTGGAGATATTCAAAAGTCATCTGGACACAATCCCGAGTAATGTGCTCTAGGGGAGTTGAGCAGGGAAGTTGAATGACATGACCTCCAGTGGTCCCTTCCAACCTTACCCATTCTGTGATTCTGTGCTTCATTATATAAGCTTTGACTTTTGAATTCCCCTATGAGAGATTCAAAAAAGTTGTTTCTGAAAGGACGAAAAAAGTCGTCTTCTTAAGTTTGATTTATAAGGACTGAAAATAACATACATTTCCCTAATACATAGGAAACAGTATGCATCTTCTCCCATACACGTTCTGCAATAAGATAAAGGAAACTGAAACTGCATGAACTCTGAAATCTGATAGGTAAAGGACAACACGATGAAATGGAGTCATTGTTTTGATACCCTTGTTTGCTTTCAGTGAACAGGTTTAGAATAAGGAACTGGGGGGGTCATATTGAATAGGAAAAACTTTTCACCACAGTTTTCACAGAGGAGTACAGCAGCAAAAAGCTGAGAGAGAACATGTTTGTCTCTCCCCATGCTTGGGGACTGGTTTAACGATTAATCTGAAACAGCTAACATCTGCAGTGCATCAGAGAGCAGACTGGAGTATGAGGTACACTACAGAGACTGAGAAAATAGCATTAAAAAACCCTACAAAACACTTGAAGTGGAAAAGAAACCAGGATGGTTTGCCTTCACCTTTAATAGCCTTTCTCTTCCTTCTTGCACAGGATAGATGTCCTGACTGAAACCCACATGTGCTGTGGCCATGCTGCCCTTTTGACTCCCACCGACACTTCCCATGGACACCTTGACTTTCTCTAGAGCTTCTCCTAATTGAAAACCATGTTTGGAAATGTCATTGTTAAAGTGTTTAAAATATTCTGATGAACATTTGTAAGGATGTGCCATGATAACACTTTTCTCTGGTGGCAGTGCCAGCTAAAGAGAACTTCACTGTTTCTGGGGTGCTCCTTCTGCCAAGGCAAAAGGAGAGATAATCTTCCTCTTCATGGAGACAGTCCCCCTTGCCCTCCTGCACTGGGTGTCTCATAGCACAGGTGAAGGAACTCCCATGGCATCAAAAGTACCAGCAGCGACTGTGCTGCCACTGAAAGAAAACAGGATCAAATCATGCTCTTACCATGCTGAGGCTCAGGGGCACTAGACATCAAGCCCCTAGTAAAGATTGCTGAGTGGAAGCACTGTAGACTTTCTTCTTGAACAGAATGTGCTAAAAATCTTAATTGTGGCACTTCATGCAAAATCTACATTTCATGTATATGACAGAAGGCAGCATAGAAATACCTCTGCAAGGATGTGCTTAATCTGTGGGATTTCTCATCACACCTGCTAGCAGCTACCACTGCCCACTGGTGAGACCACACAAAGGATCAGGTTTCCTGGCAGCACACACTCACCACCTGCATGTATGGCCCATGGCAGGCTGTGATATATTATCATGGGACAAGAGGCCACAAATCCGTCTGAAAGAACTGTCAACATTTTCAACCTCTAAATACAGAGTGGAAATGATTTATTAATACAACCCACAAAATAAAACAATTTTCGAGGTGAGTGTCTGGGCAGCCAGTAATAATTCCGAGTTTATTAAGACCCAGGCAAAGGAGGAAAAAGAAGCAGAAGTGAAATATCTTTCTATCTCCGGCTCAGCTTCTGCTCTCAAACAACTACACACAGTGTCTACACACAACACACATATGAAGTGCTGAGTTACAGAAGAGGTATTATGGGGCTCTGAGCAACCTGGTCTAGTGCAAATTGTCCCTTCCCATGGTAGGGGGGTTGGAACTAGATGGCCTATAAGGTCCCTTCCAACCCAAAACATTCTGTGATTCTATTACATCTGAGCTCTCAATGACTATTCTCGCCCAGCTATTTTCTCCTTCTCTGATACAAAGGCAAACCAAGATCAATAGTGTAGGTAATAATCTCAATTAATCTTGCAAATTGTTTTTGTCCATAAACAACAATATTGGAAATAAATAAAAAACCTTTGAGAAGTCTTGAGGGAAATAATAAAATATTACACTGAGGCAATTACATACAGTTTCTATTAAGCAGACAAAGTCCACATGTTGTGGCCTCTTACATTCATTACTTCAGCAGACACAAAAAATATTACAATAATATTAGTTTGTCAGGAAATACTTCAGGTAACAAAGTATATATTTCATCAGATTTTACTGCACCATTAAACACATTCATGTCCCATAACATACAGTGTATACACAGGGATAGTGTGAGCTGTGGGAGCACAGGCTCCTGCACTGCTGATTTCAGAGATGTGGTTCCTCAAGCACCATCAACAGAACTATATCCACGCTGATACTGAGGAGAAATCCTACCTCCACCCTTTTTTCCCCACGACCACGTGTTCCCACTTCTACCCTTATGTCAACAGTTAGCACCAATTAGCCTGATCAGGGACCTGGCAGGAGAATAAACCCCATTAAAAAAACGACAAAGAAATGTAATGCCAGCACAGAGGGGCATTATACTACATAGCCACATGGACACAGGCATTTTAACTTTTTCCAGGGAGCTGCTTGTTTACAGACATCAGTTAAGGGCACTCTAGTGCCATGGATTTTCCTAATTAATGTATCAGATCTGCTGATCCTGTGTGGATGTCTCTGATAATCACATGGCAGTAGGCAACTGCGACTGATAGCCATACCAAGCCCCTCAGGTCTAGGAGCTCTTAAAAGGGGATCTCGCTCTTTCACTTCCTGATTGTTCATGGGGTTGAAGGGGCTAAAAAATACTTCTACAATAGCAACTCACCTCAGCTTTCCTGGAATGTTTCCAGGCAGATGAGAGCCAGTGCAGTTATGGTCTCTTATAGAGGCAGAAAACAAAGAGCTCCTCTTCAAACCAAACTAAGAGGATCAAACGGCCTCAAGAAAAGGGGAAGGGAAAGAGCCCTGTGTGAAGACCTGAAACTGGGCTGATCCACTGAATCGCAGCAAGTATAACTGAATGGGAAGAGGAAATGGTTTCTGAAGCTTCCAAAAGTGTATAATGTGAAAATGGGGGTATTGGGAAAATTAAGGTTGGCATCAACACAGGACCCATAGTTACCCATCACCTGCTCCAAAGCTACAACCCAAGTAAATAAAAGAACAAAAATCAGTCTTGCCCAAAAACACCCAAGCAGCTCTAAAAAATTATGAAGGTCTTCCCAGAAAACTACCATGCTTAAAATCCAGCAATCCTTGTGCAATAGTCCCGAGGAGTACAGGAGCAGGGCTGGGAGGTTTTCCAAGCAAATAACCCCACCTTGACATGCAGGTGTCCCCATGCCAAGGCAGTTCCCTGTTATTGCCTTCTTCTGGCAGCTCTGCAAGCTCACAGCCTTGGGACCCTAACTCATAAACCCACAGTAAAACTGTTGGCTCCACATTCTTGTCTCGCAATAAGAGGTCCCAGCTCTCGTCCCGGGAAGCACTGCCATCAACCATCAGCCAGGAGTCCTGCTGCACCAGGTACCTGAGCACAGGAATTCACAGGTTTCCTTCCCTCTGAGAAGATGGGGCTGAAAAATGCCTCCTGCTCTATGGATATTCACGCAGTAGCAAATGCAGTATCCAGAGGGGAAAGTTTTTGGGACCTTCCTCAGGCTATCACCTGCAACTGGGCTGATCACAGAGGAAGGAGAGCAGCTAATTGCAAGTCATTTTATGCACTATTTATACCAATACTTTGCACTGTAAGAAAGTTGTTTGCCTCTCATGCAGAGAAAAACAAGAATGTTGAGTATCCTCCCATGCCTTCTAGTTTGTGAAGCAAAAAGGAGGGAAAAGGTAAAGGGTTTAATCAACCTCCAATTCATTTTTATTGTTAGCAGATGCTCCAGCTTGCTAGTTTTCAGGGGCCACTTCAGTCTCTCTTTTGCAGTTGCCTAAATGCATTGTCAGCACTGACAGTGACAGATACAGCAATGACAAAAACCAGTGATGCTCTAGTGCAGAACAGCACAGCTCTCTGCCTGGTTCCTAATCAGAAAGGACTGCTTGGAAGGGAAAGCCAGAGCCTTGCAGGCTGAACAACAGGGTGAAGAGGGAGCAGAGCCAGCAGCACACAAGTGCTTTTCACAGGACGCTGGGGAGAAGCTGAAATTATTGTCCCGCTCTCCGCAAGCCCTCTTCAGGGGACCCCACTATGGTGCTACACGGTGGGCACTTACCTTGTGTGTGCTGTACCAGGGGCCAGAGAGGGGCCCACTCATGATGCCTGGTCCCCCAAAGGATGCATTCCAAGACGCCCTCTCTGAAACTGGGATGATGCCCATGTCCCTGCCCTCAGGCCCCAGCCACTGGCCATGCCATGCACTGTCACACCAGTGAGAGGGGATGGGTGGCTGTGAGGAAAGGCGAACAGGATCTGGACGTGGCACTCACTTCCTGGTGTGGGATAGGCTGCTGGCAGGGGTTACTGTGCACGCAGGTGTAGAGGCTGCGATTGCCGGTGCAGCCGAGGCTGCAGCCGAGGGCTGCGTCTGCAGGTGTACACCAGGAGACCCTCAGCTGGGGAATAGCTGTAGCATAGGAGAGGAAGGGGAGCTTGACAAGAGCTTTTCCTACTCCTTCCCAGGGCATTCAGGTGCCTTTTTTTTCTCTCTCTGACTTCTTCGATGCCCCACCCTGCTCTGAAAAGGCAGCCTGGGAATTTAACTCCTTCAAATCAGTGCCTAAATCTAATGCTCAGTTATTAATTCCTCACTGCTAGATTGCAAGACTTAGAAGTTGTTGTTCCCAAAGGCATGTAGTCAGTTGCATAAGTTCTAACTTATGTCCTGTATTATTCTCTTGTAAGTATTTCCTGAACAGTTTATTTGCAGATATTTCAGGCAATGGGTTTTTTTCCCTATCTGTGGCTTTATCCGTTCATTCTCATATTGTTGATTTTATCGCTTAAGTTCTCCTGGGGAAAACATAAACTAAACAAGGTCATTAAAGGCAGAGTAGAGCTAACAAGGTAGGAGCTTGGCAGAATTACATGGGAGACAGAAGTAAAATTTTAGAGAAGCATAGAAAGAAATACTAAGACACTGAATCTTCAGGCTCTGGACAATACAACTGCTTGAAATCCAGAGAGTTCATACTGTACCTTGGAAGAACTAACTTGTTCATCCCATTGGTTAGCTGGGCTTGAAAATGTCCAAAGTCATGACAATTACTGTAGCAGACAAGGGTCAGCAGAAAGTTATTCTGCCCTCTGCTGCAACAGAGTTTTCTCCTACTCTTAAGAAGAACTTCCATTGATTGCTTAGTTCCAGTGGGACTGGTGGTCCTACCATATGGACCAAGAGAAGAGAGAACAGCTCAGCATGCAGGATATCAGTCTAGGGACTGGGCTTCCAGCAGGCAAGGAGATATGATCCCTAATAGAAATGCAGCAAAGCTGGCTGCAGAGAGAGAAATGAGGATACAGCCCCTCAGTATGATTAATTTGTTCAAAAAATGGAAGGGACACACAATTACAGGAAAGAAACTGAAGTTAAATTAACACTCTCCGACTTGACTAAATAATGTCTGAGCCACAAGGATGTTATTTGAATCCAGATAGGAGGTGATATAGAAAAGGCAGAAATGGCAAAATAGTGCTTCAGTTAGGTGATGATATAACACCCCAAAACACAAAACCTTGCCTTTTAACAAAGGTTCATGTGTGTGGCCTAACTTGAAATACCAGTTTCTGTGATCACAGCTCCGGTGAGTCCCCTGTAAATACTGGAATTAGCTGCAGCCATGTATACATAGGTACACTGGAAAAAAACAGCTCCAATATTTCACGGCTATGTAAATTGCTGCAGACTATTTTTACAGTGTTGTGTAATTATTCTCTGCAGTCCAAGTTTACATTGAAGAAAAAAATTTGAGACAATCCGGGTTATGGTTGCAAAAAAACCCTTTAAAGTGGAACTGGAGTGTAAATTGCTGCAATGATATTTGCCCCATCTAGAGAGAGTTGAAACAAAAGCTCAGAGGGGAGTGTGAACGGACCCATTCTTCTAACTCCAGCACTAAACTGGAAGTCTGCTGACAATTAAAGTGTCAACATCAGCTACTTCAAGGCAGATCATTTTAGCAGAACCACCAGGCTGATGTTCTTATTTGTCATCCTCAATTTGCACTTGTTGGATAGCAGATCCTGAGGTGAAGAGGAAAAGCAGCAACGATTGTCAAAGGTTGCTGGGCTGAGGAAAGTTCTCATGTTCCTCATGCTTCTTCACCCAGTCACTCCTGCCCCAGCTCAAAATGGGGAGCAAAGATGTCAATGCTTCCCCAGGCTGGGGAAATTGTCTTTGGTAGCCAAATGCCGCAGCAGTCTCCACCAGCCTGCCAGTGACCTTCGCGGTATGGTTCTCTGTTGCCAAAAATGCACAAACTGGTAGGAGATTGAAAAGGAGTGTAAGGGGAGTGGGAGGAGAGGAGCAGCCCAAAATATCTCTTGAGGACAGTTGCTGTTGTTTTGCTTCATTCTTGTTGGTTCGCTGCCTAAAATACAAATGTGACTGTGGTTTTCTCTTGCATAAGAAAGCTATCGGAACGGGTTTTCGGTAATGTTGTCTATATGAAGCCCTTGTTCAATTGCTTTTGAAGTTGATCTAGCAGTGACACATCATTCCACACTTGGGTCCAGACATACCCACTCTGTCTAAACATGCCAGGGGCCCTTATGGCATCCTTTATTTATTAAGTATCTCTGATTGTCTTGCATATATAACTGCCCTGAATTATTCAGATTAATTTAACTTTTCTTTACATTGTAAGCCAGCCATATTAAGAAAGTAAAGAATATTTTAGAAACTATTTCTGCTCAGTTACTACCCTCCATTAGAAAAAACAACTATGTGCAAAAGTCCCTATACTTGTGCATTTCTGTTTTCAGGCTGAAAGTGATGCTGGGGTGTTTGGCATAAAGGTATTAAGTCCTTGGAACTGATGCTTGAAATATCCTGCAGAAATGTCCCATAAAGTGGAAGCAGAAGACAGGATCTGCAGGATGTTTTAACTGAGAACATTACTTCCAGTTTTCAGTGGCAGAAAGTTTCTGCTTAAAGTCTAGTTCCGTTTGATGGTCCTTCAAATCAAGGTTGTCCCCTGCCAGCTGGGCTGTCAGAATAGGCTATAACCACTTTGAAAACATGGAAATATAAGGTGTTTTCAGTGGGCACCACAATACATTAGCAAAACAACACACCAGAGATCTGGCACCAGGGTCAGAGTTACATCACTGGGGATGTGTGCAGAAAGCACCATGTACTATTCCCTATGTGTGTATTTTCAGTTGTTGTCCTTGTTGTACTGTGGGGAGACTGGGGTAGCTCAAAAAATACCTTAGTGAAAGTATCTGCAGAAAGGTGACCTGACTTGCTATTGTGGGATCTGTCTGATCACCTGAACAAAGGCAACAGAAGTACAGGTTTGTGTCTGGCTGTGGTGGCTAACCCACATCAGTATCAAGACAGGACTGTTCCTTCCTCTGAGTAGCAGCTCACTCCCTTTGAGTAGCACACAGCAAGACGTAGCACCTGTGAATATGGAGTAGATGCTGCGTGAGTTGGTTTGCTGGAAAATCTCAAGGTTGGTTAAACTGAGTAATTTGCAAAGTGGCAGTCTTTGACTTCTCTCATTTTCTTGCCAGTCGTTTTTGGGTAGAAGAGAAGGGGCTACACAGCCTGGGAAATTACATTCACCCATCAAGTTCTTAACAGATTGGGTTACTTCTGAGCAATGGAGATGCTCAGACAACAGACTATTTTGAGTGTTAATTGCATGGATTCCCTTACTTGGATACTGTATTCCTATCTGATATTCTTTGGCCGAGCAACAGTTGCTGTTAACAGTAGATGATGTTCCTTTATTTGGTCACAAGGATTAGGTGATTGCAATGGATGCTTTGTCAGCCTCAGGTTCAGATGATTTGGGACAGTGCTAGATCCGTGTGTCTCCCTGAACTCTGGCTTGTATGATATTGGGACCACATAAACCAATGGAATCATTATGCAGTTTCCTACCTCTAGTTGCTTTATCCTTCTGAAGTCATCCACAGAGAGCTTGACCTGGCACCAGGATCCCTTCATTTCAGATACTCAGTGAACTGTCTGAAGAGGAAATAAGGGTTTTTCATGTTTGCTTGCCCATGTCCCATCACGTCTCTGAGCTTACACTTCGTCACTGTGAATGAACCCCACTCTCAGCTGAGAAGAGTCCACATCCTTGACTACTGAGCTCTGGTCAGTTACCGAGACTTCCTAAGCCAGAAGATTAAAGAGGTAATGGTTTCCTTCTCTGCCTTATAGGAAAACAGCCCTTTGTCCAGGGCACTTAGGTATTCCACTGTAAGGATAGAGCCCAGGTGATGGGAAGTTCAGTGTTGGAATGGATGGTCCCTGCTGAGTGGTACAGGAGAGAGTTGAAGACCTTGCTTTCACCTGCTGTTCAGAGTGCCAGATTAGTGCCAAAAGTACTAAGCTTGAGTAGGATGATCAGACATGTTCCTGAGTTAAATGTCTACAAGCAGACTTTTGCTGGGTCAGTTGCTGTGTGCAAGGCTGTACCTGAAGGACTGAGCCCATGAGCCAGGGAATCTGCCTGGGGTGGGTTGCAGGCAGGGAATACTCTGTAGTGGATAGCAAAGGACAACTTGTGGAAGACATGTCTTGATTTTTACATACAGCTTTCATCTCCCTTCCCCCCACAGCTTTACAAGACCATGGTGCAAGTATATACTATTTCATATGCTAGCAATTACAGTCCTTACTGGAAGTTGCTTTCCATCTTGCAGTCTACAACTGTACAAAAACCAGGAGCCCTGGAATCAAGACATACCTTACAGACCTTGGAGAAGGCTTTTGTCCTTTCTCTCTGGATGATGGATCAGTGAGAGACTTGTAGACTTTGGACATTTTCATTTTTGACTTTTAGACCTTACCAATTTAGGCTTAATCCTGATCTTTTAAAATCAATGTCAGTTCCCGCTGACTTCAAAAGAGGCAGCCTAGCTTTCAAATACTTTAAAGAATAATTTTAAGCAAACAAACCCAAGATGGATAAGAACTGCATTTTCTCTCTCTATTAGGCATGCAACTTATTTTCTCCAAATGTAAATGTTACCTGGAGAGCTAAGCAGTGATGTGGTTTTTATTATTTCTTTAGGAGGCTACAGTACGCAAAGTATATTCCATACATTCTTCTTCATTTCAGAGCCAAACATAGCTATGTAAAGTGAGCGCCTTGTTTACAGTAGGCCCTTATGGCTTGCTATCAAATTAGTGGCAAATCAGGTCTGTAGTAAACAGAGGTCAAAGATCAAACCCACAGTTTCACATAAAATTCCAGACCATGTACACAAAATTTAAAATGAAAAATCTTCAAATCACAAGACCATCAACTGCTCTTAAAACTAATCAAAAGCAGGATAAGGACTGGAGGAAATGAAATTTAAACATGATTTTAATCCGAATTTTAATGGAACAGCTACATCATGGGTATCTTTTAACCATGACAGCTGATTCCATGCTACTTATTACTTACCATGAAACAAGGTTTTCATACATTT